TTTTTACATTCATCGGGCCCCAATCTGCCCAAATATCAAAGAGAAATTAAAAATGCATACTGTGGAAGAGTTCGGGTCTTAGGAGGTTAAAGTGTTTCAAAAATGCCTTTTAATGATGTTTAAAATGTGTTGGCATCATTTTTCAGTCACATCTGTTATTGGTTTGAAAAAAATCATCGTACTTCATGGATCATTGATGCGAATATGTGGATTTTAGTAAGTCATATATGGAACATATCTGTTTCTGACTGTAAGCACTCCTTCAACCTGAAAGACTACAGGGGTTGTGTAGTCTGACATGCACATCTGGATATGAGCCTGTAAACTGACTGTAATTGGTAACATATGGATGAAAATGAACTGTATTAAATGTTTATTCGTTTTCTGTTCAGTGTGATATGTTGTCTAAGGACCTGAATGTGTTTTCCAGTAAATCTTTATTGAACATCAAAGTGTGCAGGAGTCACTTGTCTACTTGTTTCTCCAGTCAGAGCTCTCTGTTGGTGTTGTTGTTTTTCTCAGCTATTTTACATGTGAAGCACTTCAGGCTGACAAAAACTTTCTCTGTAATCTTGTCACGATTCCTTTCCTGGGTGTGCTCACACTGCAGGGACAAAAAGTCCAGCTTCACCTCTCTGTGGTTGAATTTGAGACTGAAGCCAGAAACAAAGCCAGATTGGGACGGTGGCTCTTCAGTAAACAGCCTTTTACCTGTCTTTCTCCACCCAGTCACTAGATGGCCTCTGACTTACAGCTGCAAGATTGTCATTTTATTCATGCTTTTTGTTGCAGCTCTTTTTCTCGCTTCCTCCTTCTTTGTTGTCAACTTCTTTGACTGTTGTCAGCTGATTATTGTGTGTTAAGCCCCTATTCCTGCACATGATCCACATCCTGCCTTCCACCCTGACCACCACACTTTCCTCCCACTGACTGGACATGTTCAAGTTGTCCTATCCACCAATCAAGCTGCAAACATCATCACTGCACTGGCTGACTGTCCACTGGATGGATTATAATATCAGGCTGTACTTGTTAATACTTGGTTTTATATTGAACATATATCTCAAACAAACCTTAATAATTTCTTTTCTAATTAAAAACCCATTAAACCATTGAATATTATATTTCATGTAACTAACTGTGCATGAAATAGTTACCATAGAGGCTTGTTACTCATACAGCACATACTCACATTTAAAATGGTCTCAAAGAGAACTTCTATTGTTTTAGAAGAAAAATTAATCAGTCTCTAATAAACTGTGGTAAATTAGCTCTAATTTAAGGGGGAAAAATCACCTTTTTCCTTGTTTACTTATGTGATTTTTTTTTTATCAGTGCTTATTTCTTATACATATTAACAGCTTAACAGTTTAAAACGAGACTCTCCAGCAGCTACATCCACAAAAAACAGCCATTTCCTCTGCAAGCCATCTACCACACAAGCTGCCTGAGTTGCAGTGGTCAAGCATTTTTCAAAACAGACACACCTTCCAAGAGTCAAGTGAATCATAACCTGCTTTAATGTTCTTTCAAGGCTCAGTAGAAGTGATGACTAGGGTTACCACAACGGTGGCTCGTCTACAGAAAGACAAAAACACCAATTAATGAAGTAAAATTTCACAATGAAAAAACTAAAAAAATCAGGCAGTGACACTGACAGAAAGACAGAGACTCAGTGGAATACATAAAATGATTTACAGTACAGTTTTCAACCTGAAGAACAACAATATGACAATATGCACTATTGGCACCCAGCTCTGCAACTCTGCAGTCAAGTTGGTTGCAGCCCGTTCTCGTTCTCATGGCGTCTAATACTCCCGTTTTGGTAAAGCCACCGGCGTCTCCCAATTACACACACGGTGGCCTTTTAGGTTTAGACATTAGGTGTGTTACAAAAACCCTTTGGGATCACATTTTTCCCCATATTTCAGGATTTATTTTTTACATTTTTGCATTTGTTAGTTAGTACA